CCACAAGCCCAAAACGAGCCCACAAGCTGGCTGCAATGCATTGTCATGCATGACATATGCATGATGAAGTGTTGTTGATTGTGGGAAAGTTTGGTGAAGCATATTCAATACCTATTTTTGAGTGGAATTTTGCAGCAGCCAAATGAATTAATTGAAGTTGAAGTGGGGGTGCAACACTAAGCCTAACGACAAGAGGAATTGTTTTCAAATGCAATTGTGTGTTAGGTTAAGTTGGTGAATTAAGTGTTGTGTGTTAGGTGAAGTTAGTGTGTTTAGAAAATTCAATTGTATAATTCAGATTTTCACTTCCCTTAGGCCTATAAATAGGGAGGTTCTCTAGGCTTGTAAACACACCCCAAGGGGGGGAGCTCTCAAGCACTTCTCTAGAGCTCCCTTCCCTTCTCTCCCTCAAATTCTCTTAGTTTCATTTTCTAGTTTTCAATTGTTGTAATGAAATCTTTTGTGCTGAAATTTTCCTTAAGTTTTTCTTAGTTCCACTTTACTTTTCATTATGTAAATTCTTTTCTTTAGTTTTTCAAGTTTGATTAGTTTCCAAGTTTCAATTATGGTTTTTGTTCTTATTCATTATGCTTATAAGTTAATATGCTAGTTTGAATGATTGATCACCATTTAGGCTTGCATGTTAGCTATCTTGGTTTGAATTAAGAGTAGACACCCTGCTTTAATTCGAATTGAACTATGAATAGGAAGAGTATGTATGGACATTCGACAACAGGGATTAGATACATGCTTGGTTGTTTAAAATGTTCTTCTATGCTTAATGGGTTCCTAATGCTTAATTTTAGGTTAGACAACAAATGATCAAATTAGGGAATTAGGAACACAAGGTTATGACCAAACACCATGGCTTAATCATACTTTAGCTAGAATCAATCCATTAATCTAATTGAACTTGGGAACTTATCTGCTTGAGTTAGTTATTTCTTTCTTCCTTGTTTTATTTATTTCCTTTCTTTTTTCATTTCTGTTTTGTGTAGGGAAACTAAATTGGATCATTCAATCACCAATCCCTGTGGAATCGACCTCGCACTTACATACGCTAAACTACCAACGGTTCGTGCACTTGCGAGTATCACAAGTTGAGGATGCAGCTTAATCCATTTTGGTGCAGCTGAAATCTACACAACAACTACATCCCTCCCCTCAAATAAATGGAGAATAGCTCCAGCCCCCACGCACAATGTGGCACCATAACCACGAACATAGCACGATCAGAGTCCGCCTCGCGCCACAGGGATACCAACTAAAATCAGCCACAAACCAGAACGACTATTGCGGGCTCGCCCAAGTACATTAGAGAGATCAACCAAGAGCACACTAGAAAGACCAAGGGGGTGACACCGAGATAGCGAAGGACAACAAGAGCGATTAGAAATAACATAAAGGTGGGAAGCACAAAACTCTAGTTGTCACAATAATCTCATCGCGTGGGTAATCTAAACTACTCTAAATTAATGTAATTTATGGGGAGGGGGATTCGAACGTGGGTACAAGGGGGCAGACTTACAATCTTAGCCAACTGACCTAACCCACGTCTGCCACCACTCCTCTCCATTTTTTTTTTTCACACACTACATATTTAGTAAAATTTCTAAATACAAATTTGTCCGTATGGCTTAACACGGGAAATATTTATAAAGAAACCAAAATAAAATTTCCTTCTTATCATGAGAACTTGGTCATGCCCTGGTAGAATGATCATAAAATAAAAATATTTTCGACAAAAAAAAATCATACAAAAAACAATCTGACACAGGATTGAATAATGAATGTAAAAAATGTGTAGACAAAATCTCATAAATATGGAAAATTGAAAACTTAATTTATTTATTTTTATGAACTTAGGAACAATTATTTGCATTTGTGAATGTACCATAAAAAAAATATAATATTTATACATTACTCTTATACCTAGACAAAATCCAGGTGAAAAATTAATCACTTTCGTTCTATTAGTTTTTGCAATGTAAATTATAAAATAATTTCTAAATTATTAATTAATACGAATGGTTTGATCTAAATGTATTTAATATTTTAATTGGTGATGAACTACTTTCTTCTTTTCCTAAAAAACATTTTAAAAAGACTGAAATGGCAGTTAAATTAGATATAGCAAAAGCCTATGATCGAATAAATTGGAATTACCTTTTCCTTTGTCTTCACAAATCTGATTTTTCTAATCTTTAGATCAATTGGATTAAAAATTATGTGACTAGTGTCTGTTACTCTATTCTCTTTAGTGGTAAACCTTATGGTCATATTAAACCTCGTCGAGGACAAGGAGATCATTTATCCCCTATCTTTTTATTCTTTGAGTTGAGCCCTTTCTACTATATCTCAATTTTCTTAAATCTCATCCATCTATTAATATTGATCTTTTAACTTCTAATCAGGGTCTCAAAGTTTCAAATCTTTATGTTGTAGATGATTGTTAAATCTTTTAATTGATTTCCAAAAAAAAAATCAAGTAAAAAGTTTAATTTCCATAAATCTACTATTTATTTTTCTTATTCTACTAATCATAATTTTAAGGATCGAATTTCAGCTATTTAAAATATACCTCATGAAAATACTTTAGAAAAATATTTAGGTATTCCAAATATATATATCTATATTATCTATATATATATATATA